GAAGGAAGGAAGCAAGGAAGCAAGGAAGGAAAGAAAGAAGAAAGGATGGAAGGAAGGAAAAAATAACAGGTGAACAGAGTTACATTTTATTGYTGAGCTTACCTTGTTTAGATAACAATGAATAAAAGTATCAAACAAAGAATAGAATGCTATAATTGTCTGAAACGAGAACAAAACATCCTCACTTTAGAGCATTTGACATTAGAGCGTAGCTGCAGGAGGAAACCAAGGAAGAGCAACTGATTACCAAGGGGGGTGGGGTAGGTAATTGAGGAGAAAAGTCGACATGACATGGTTCAATTAGGTACCCCATTTGATTGATTTAGGTGGTGATACCAGTAAATACTCCTTCGCCCTCGGAGACCTGTTGCAATACTCAATACCGTGTACTCAATACCGTTGTTGGTGCCAAACGTTGTCGAACATATATTCAAACARACATTACACTCATCCCTGTGATTTGACTTTTAGTTCTGGAGAGTTTTAAAGATCGACAAAATCCAGGATGTTACTTCCAGAGTTGGAGCGTACCAGGTAGCTCCACCCCACCCCTCTAAATCAGGTCCTGTAGGATTACAATCGCTTTGACCACATCCCTTACCTGTATAATCCATAGGGGGTTTTCTCTGTATACCCATAATAATGCAATAGGATTACTAGGAACAAATCAAACAACAATAGTCRGATACATTCATTGAGATTTATGGCTGGCATARWGRYAGTGCACTCGCCTCTTATCTCTGCATGGGGTCTCATCTTTGATTTTCTGAGTATATATAGAGTGTTTTAGGTTTCTCCCTTGATTCAATTTTTCCCCCGAGGTTTTCGGTTTTCGTCACTTCTCAAAAACCTAAATTCACATTCGGTTTGTGAGTTAGYCATGCCCTGCCTTAGATCAGCCCAGAGGTTGTTTCAGGGTTCTATCTGTGAGTTAGCCATGCCCTGACTTAGATCAGACCAGAGGTTGTTACAGGGTTTGATCTGTGAGTTAGCCATCTCCTGACTTAGATCAGCCCAGAGGTTGTTTCAGGGTTTGATCTGTGAGTTAGCCATGCCCTGACTTAGATCAGTACAGAGGTTRTTTCAGGGTTCGATCTGTGAGTTAGCCATGCCCTGACTTAGATCAGCCCAGAGGTTGTTTCAGGGASGGATCTGCGAGCTAGCCGAGCCCTGATTAGCCCATGGCCAGAGGTTGTTTCAGGGGTTTAATATGTGAGTTAGCAGCGCCCTGACTTGGATCAGCCCAGAGGTTGATTCAGGGTTCGATCTATGAGTTAGTCATGTCCTAACGTATATCACTGATCCAGATCTTGTTTCAATCTGTGTTTTAGGGTTCGATAAAATGTGAAGGTTTTAGAGGTTAAATTGGCTAATTTTGATTACCCATTGACCATTCCATTGATTGTTTTTTACAATCATAATACAAAGAAATATYACAACTTACTATTCTATAGAAGTGTGTGGCTTGTGACAACACCATTTGGTAGCGTTAGCGATGTCTAGCGATGTACATCCATAACTGAAAGGAAAATGCGCATCATTTCAGTACGATGTCTTGACTCAAGGATGCGAAGGTGATCAACAGTCCCCGATTCACCTCTCCCCCCTGGTGTACTCCCCCTACCCTACCCCTGTGGTGCTTGTGTGACCTACCAGTGTGCTGTATCAGGGTCTGTATCTTGGACGCTTCTTACGACATATAAAACACAGGAAATTATTTTTACGATGAAGCGAAATGTTTGCCATCTTATACCTGAAAATGAAATAAATGCAATAAAATAAAATAAAATAGGATAAGGAATGGTCCTTTTTTTTTTTGTTTGTTTGTTTGTTGTTTTTTGTTGTTGTTTGTTTTGTTTTGTTATGTTTTGTTTTTTGTTTGTTTTTTGGTGTTTTTTTCCATGTAAATGCTCATTCCTTGAACCACAGGGTTCCCGCATTCAGCTATTTCTATCTATGGATCTGTTTTGAACTAAACCATAAGGCAGGTGTTTGTTTAGGCTATCAAAACATCACCAGCAGGGAGGTGTTACGCCGCCAGCATGAGGAACATTGATATAAGTGTCTATCTCACAGATTGAACCTTGAAGCAGCCTCTGGGATGATCTAATCCTAAACAAACATGGCAGTGGCTCACAGACCAAATTTGAATTTAGCGTGTTATCACAACGAGGTRCAACATATTGGTTTAGCCTGGTTTTGCTTTCAAAAGATTCTTGTTACAATCTATAGCGGCCGCAACGACTCAAACTACAATTACTATGCAGTATTGAATATTACTAGACAAAAAAAAAAAGTTGATGACATCGCTTTGTGCGCCGGTGCGGCTTTTCTGCCCTCCCCCCTCCCCTTTCCCAAATCGATCGACCATTTTTTTAAAATGCAATCCAAATGGCTTATCCAAGACCTTATTTGGCTAAATATTTGTCTTGATGGAGCCACACTGACTCGTCATGTGATCTCTTCGACCAATGAGTGCGAAGGAAAAGGTGCTGGTAATTTTAATTGGTCTGTAAGGCTGGGTTATGACAAAAAGTCAAATGATATCATTTGAAATSTCGATATCATAGCCGTAATAATTGTGATATACAAACTTACGAGATAAAAAAAAGTTCTAGTGAATATTGAATACTGCTCAGTGAAACGGTTTTTTTAGCTTTAATTTCAACAAGGCATCGACGCTATATATCATAACACGTGGTGTTGATATTCAGAAAGCATTCAAATGAATAACAAAAACAAACAAAAAAAATCAAAATTCATACTTACTATATCTTTGATTAGTAACAAAATAGAATCTCAGCCGCTCCTTGAACGATTTATCGTGTATATAATGCTCCACACGCACCCTAGAATGAAAGACATGAAACATCAGGGGAGAAAAACATATCGAGCCCAATATATTAATCATCTGTTCGTTATCCATTGTTGAAGCCGGTTGGGAGCATTTGATATATATTATTAAAAACGCTAGAATCGCCCATTGATTTCAGAAAAGACAGTGATAGTTTTTCTGGAGTATATTTGTTTTTGTTATCAAAAGATGGGGGCGTGATACTTTGATTTGTGAGAGAGTTTTTGTGAACATCTTTAAGATTGGTTTTGCTCGATAATTCTGGCCGAAGATTATGGGAGCGGCTATATACAGACTAAGCGAAAAGCCAACAACCTTCGATGAAAAAAATATATTTTAAGGTGGAAAAAAGAAACAAAAAACAAACAAACAAAAAACAAACAAACAAAAACAAAAACAAAACAAAAAAAAATAGACACACACACACACAAAATGCAACAAACAAACAAAAGCAGAAGAAAACCCCAAAAACAAAAAACAAAAAAACAAAAAAAAACAAACAAAGAAATTGAATGAATATTGAATGTACAACGATTCAAACAACTCTTGTCACTTTTTATCATTTATTTTCGTCTTATTTCAATTTTCTCATTAGAGAAAGTTAGATTTTGATGGCTGGTAAAATGTATATATTTTAAATCCAGTTTGAGTATCCATGGCAACGCCCTAACATGCGCGAACCATGCTAACTATTACATTTCTGGAAGCAGATGCRAATTACCATCAAAAACCCAAAGTTTATTGACTTGAACAAAGAAAAATGWCAAATATTGATAACAAGGAAACCAAGGGATTCGACGTCTCCTCATCTCCTTATGTAAACTTTAATCTTTCTYGAATGGCTGTGTTCAAACAACAACCGTGGGGGAGAACGACAATTAGGAACACGAAACTGCTGTGCACAGCTTTTTCTGAAATGCAAATGCATGACCTCTTGGTTGCGAAATATAAACAATAAAAAGAGATTCTTCTCATTAAAATGAATAAAACCTRGCTAGTTGGCTCAATTATATCGTTATTAGGAAAATTCAAAATAACTTGGTTATTCGATGAAGTACTGTGGATTAAAACCAAAGATTAAAAATGATTTGTAGGTGTTTTTGTTCATGTTTTCTTTTTACCCTTCTCGCGTGTCGGAAACAAAGCGATCAAATGGAAAATTGATGATTAYAAAGTAACACAATTCCCTCTTAACCTCACAGGAACATTTCGCATCAAAGAACATTGTAGCAAAATCATTACATCAAGGTAAAACACTCATAAAAATATTAATAGCTTTTTGACATAAGGAAATCTCAAGAACAGCAAAATATACCTTCAAAATCGCCGAATATTTAAAACATTTCTGACTATTCATTTTTTTCCATGGCAGCAAGTAAATAATCGAGTGTTCAGTGTTTAATTTTGTGTTAGCATTTTCTCGTAATATTAAATTAAATTCACCCCAAATGTGTTCAAGAGTAAAAAACAAATCGTAATATGAATTGAGTTGTGAAAAAGCTCAATGTGATATTTTCTAGTGTTTATTTTTTTCTCGTTTTCGATCTTTAGTTGCGGTTTCATGTTACACAATTACTATTCGAAGCAATCTTACACGAATAATTGGGATATTTCGAGCGGGAAAACTCCTAAAAATCCACTGCTAGATGCTAGATACATCCTCATTTCTAACTAACTAGTAGATTTTGGATACAGATTTTTTTTACAAGCACTGCAGTGTTATCTTGTTTTAAAAATTGTGACAGACAGTGTAAACAGAACGATTGAAATGAAACCGTGAGCTTGAAGTAAAACTGTTTCGAAATAAAAGCTCTTTTCCAACCAAATTTTTCTAAAAATATAAATATCAAATATCTACAAAATACAAATATCTAGTAAAATCTCGAAACTGTTATCTCAAAAATTTCACAAAATCCGAGAAATTTGATGTATTTTACAAAAGGGTACAGTTGTTTTGAAGTTATCATCCGAGGGAGGATTTTATTTATAAGCACGGTTAACYATCAAATAACGTATAAACTTACCTTTCTTTATCTTCGTTGTTTTTGTCTGAAGAAAGTAAATCTCGCAACCTGTACCTAGGACGTGGAGAATCAACACCACTATGATTAGTACTAGACCAGTTCACTTGTAAATACTTTTCTCTTTGTGGACGCGCCATCTTCTGAACCAACCCGCGCGTAATTCCCCTCYTTCTGCTTCGCCCACGTGTGTGTACGAAATAATAGTGATTTTGTATTTTTGATATTTTTTTAGACTAAAATAATTTTTTTCGCGATAGGTTGTTAAGGCTATTTCATTGTTTATTGTGCGAATAAAGGTTAATCGCGATGGACAATTCTATTGAGATGATTGTGAATTATTTAGAATATAGTACCAGTGGTATGTAAATAAGTCTACCTCATTTAGGAGAAGTTCATTAAGCGTTCAAGCTTCCCGGAAGAAAGCTCAAAAACTACTTAAWTGCAGCGCTCTTAAAATGCTTTAATGATTTCTAGAACT